TAGTTTTAGTATAGTAAGGTGAACGCTGAAGCGCTGCACGAATCTTTCTTAGAAAGATTCAGCAATGAAGTTCTGCCCCTACAGAGCCCGAATTCTAGCTAAAACCCCCTTGTAAGTTTCATCGAAGGAAAGTATTTTAAAGTAACAAAGTGTTGTCCAAGTACCGAGTCACCACCTTATTTGGTGAGTGCATAGTTACTTGCATCTTACACATAGAAATGAAGTGTTTTATATAAACTACGTGCTATGTGTTCATATTATCTGTATACTTGCTATCTATGTTGGATGAACGATTTTATACATGTTTTAAATGATTTAAATTGTATATGTATTTTATATCTGCAAATATGTTGAGTATAACATGGGTAGATGAACGAGGAGGGGTGAAAGGGGATATAAGTAAACATTGGCGACTATGAGACTTAGTGCCTAGACCTTGTCGACTATGAGACTTTGTGCCTAAACCCTGGCGACTATGCAACTTAATGCCTGTTGTATAAACCCTAGCGACTATAAGATCTAGTGCCTAAACCCTTACGACTATGAGAAGTAGTGCCTGTTGTATAAGCCCTTGCAACTATGCTACGTAGTGCATGTTGTATAAACCCTGACGACTATGAGACTTAGTGCCTAAAACCTGTCGATTATGCGACGTAGTGCCTGTTTTATAAACCCTGGTGACTATGCGACTCAGTGCCTAAACCTTGGTGACTATGCGACTTAATGCTTGTTGAGTAAACCCTGGCTATGATGTATTTCATGTCGACTCATTAGGAATGAATGAACGAGGAATAGCTAATTCTTATGGTAGATCCTTAAGAGTAAAGAAGATAATAGGGATGGGTAATTGGGTTGATTGTTTGATGTTTAAACATAATAATTATATTATTATGGGTTGAAAACCCTATGTACTCACCAGGTTCCCCAACCTGACCCACTCAAGCTTATTTGAATCACAGGTGCTGATACAAAGTTACATTACACTGGGAGATTAAAGAGGTGTAGATCACTAGTGTAAATAAATGTAAGTTCTATTTATGCTTATGTTTCATTATTGACAATGACATCCCAGATGTTTTAAAATGAATAAATATACATTTCTTCGAAAATGCTTTGATAACGCATTTATCATGTTTTACTGGGAATAAATTCCGCAACATTTTTATTAAAAGAAGTACTCTGATTTTTATAAAGCATAAACAAAATCGATCTTTTCTAGCTGTGAGAAATAGGGATGTCACATGATCCCCAGTAGCCACGTTGTGGCAGCCAGAAGGCCACATCGTGGGAATTAGGTCTAAGTGACTTAATGGATTAAGTTGTTTTACTTCATCCTAAAGAGCTCCAAATCTCAGATCTGATACACTCCATGGTCTTGATGGATAAAGTTTCCCACTTTATCCATTAAGACATCTCAAAAAGACAAAACCTCTAAACCTAAGTTCTTAATGACCTCATGAAGCATGAGTTATCCATTAAGCTCCTAATCACTAGAGTGATTCATCAATATTTTCTAGAAGGCTTTCCCACACCTAATGGATCATAAAAATGGGTGATTTATTGACATGAATGTCCAATGTGTGTCTCTTCCATTTCAGGTCAAAAATAGGCGAGAAGGGAACTCAAACTTATTCATGGGACCAAAAATCGAAGAAACTCTAGATCTACAACATATGACCTCAAAGGGACCTCAAGGATCCATAAAGTTGCCAACTTTATGGAATCTATTCCTTCAAAATTCAACAATCATGAAGAAAGGGGATAAGAACCTAGATATTGATGCACGGAACTTAAATATTGGATCTTGAAAACTTACAAATGTCCAAAATATGCACAAGAGAAAGATGATGAGGTTTCCTTGCTGGATCAACACACTATAACACCTTATTCTTCTCTTTCTTCAAGCTACCAAAAGTACCAAAATGAGCCAAGAATAACCATAAGGGATTAGAGTTAGGGTTTCTGAGGTTTGAGAATGATAGAGGCTAAGAATGATGCCCTAATCTCTGGGATATGATGCTTAAATATGAGATAAACCCTAAAATCATGAGCTTTAGCCAGAGTAGTTGCCATTTCGTGGCCATCTTACTCTTACATCGTAATATGGACATGTTTCATTTAAGTTATGCCACATCGTAGGAATCCATACACCACGTTGTGGCATGGAGTTTTTTTGCCAAAAACTTCCTCTGTGATCCCATTAAATCTTAAGTACCAATTTGGAAAATGGGTGTTACAGTTGTTTTATTCCCCAAGTCTTCCTAACGGATTATGCTTATATGATGATTATTCGTCTTTTTGTAAAAGTTATTCCCATTTAGAACATTTCATGACAATTTAATTATTTCTGGTAGTTAATGATGTTGCTTTGTTCCTTTGTCTTTATGGTCTTCCATTTATCTAAGTAAGGATTGGGATTTTCGAATTTCTGCTATAGTATTGTATTTAAATTTCTGATATAGCACTGTTTTTACCATGGACTGACATTTAACAATGACTATTACAACATTGAAAAGTCATGATTTTTTTTCGAAGTACAATGTTATAACAGGAAAAAAATGTAAGCATGATGTTATATCAGACAAACAAATTCAAGTGCATTTATATATCTTCCATTTATGTTAACCATTGCAAAGCCGAAACTTCATATATCATATTTAAAGGTATTTTTTTTTCTTTCTTTCATATGCGTGAAGGTGCTTACTTGTTCATATTTTTAAAAAAATATATTCATTTGGGAATTGTTTAGTCTGTATTTCAGGATTTAAGATTACAGTTTACGCATCCATCAATGCAGGTATGCAAATATTACTTTTTTATCATTTGTTTTTATAGTTAAATCGACCGATTTCTTCTTTTAAAAGTCACGTGTGAAAAAAAAGTTAACTACATTAATATGATTAAACTATATAAGGAAAGCTTTAAATAATAATAAGGTGCAACTTTCATTGGTTTTGTGAAAATCTCGTAGGCAAGAAGGCTATTACTTGATCCAACAAACCACGAAGAGTTTACATGTTTAAAGGTATTTGGAATAGAAAATAGGCGATATAGATATATAATAGTTGTTTGAAACTATTTTTATATACTCATAAATAAATAAAAATAGATTGAAAAAATTTAATTGCATAAAGAAAAATTATGATTTATATTTTAATTTATTGTGAATACAGAGTTTAGTGGAGGAGAAGGATAAAAAGGTGAAGGATTTTGAGGACAATATTGGTTTTGTTTACTTCACTCCATAACGTAGGATGGGGAAGATGTTAGGAGGCTTCAAGGGAAAATGACGACATCTGAAATCAGGACAAGGAAGAAATCTACAAGCAAGGACACCAGACAAGGTATGCATCGGTAAAATGGTAAAGGTATTATAAAACACTCCCAATTAGTATCTTGCAAAAAAGCTTAAACACTATAAACATAATTTATAAATAAAAAAATATCTTAGAATCACTTACCAAAATTTTATGTTCTTGTGTTTTATTAGGTTAAAGGATCTTCAGATGTTAAGGAGCAAATTCAAAAATCTCATACACGATCTTTAGGAGTTGGAGTAGCAGCAGGTATGTATGTGATAAATTAAAATTTATCAAATTATGTCTTGATCCACATTTTGTTGTAGTTCATGGGTGTTTATACTTAAAAGGCATGTGGAGAAACTGCAGTTGGAATTAAATCTCTATACCCTGTTAAGAGAGGCTTTGGAGAGGCAACCATCACACCATGTTAAGAGAGGTCTGATTTATTTATATACTAATAAATTATAGAATGTTTGTAATTATTTCTAAGTGTACTCAAAATTATATATTGATCTAATAATATATACTTGTAGTGCTGATGTGTGATGTGGTTGTTATTGCCAAGATTATGAAGGTTACATTAGTTCTTCCTTCCCTTGATCACGGCTCCTAGTTCAACTAGGCTGGTGAAAGGTTTGTATTTTGGTTCCTTATTCAAAAATATTTTAATTTCGTAGATTTTTAAATCTAAAATGTCATAAAAAGATTTTTTTTTTTTAAGTATAATGTTGTAATAGAAAGAAGGAAAAGTAGGATGTTGATATACAAAAATAAATGAAAGTACATTGGTATTTTTTGTATTTAGCCATTTGGAAATTTTATAGATTGACTTTAATTTATGTTGTATATTTTCAGTGGATTCAAAGATCTGTTTGATTGGCAACATTTAGTGGAAACCTTAAAAGAAGATGTGTACATAGTTGAAGCAATGCGACCACTTTATATTGGGCTTGAACCATTTGCCAAGACTCCAATTTCATGGTAAAAGGATAGACTCACCTTAAAAATGTGCCACTTAAAAATTCTACATGTTATATAAAAAAATTCCATTTTGAAAATTCATTCCATTTGGGCGTTTGATTAAGAAAATCCAATACTTGTTAGATTGGCCCCCTAAAGTTTAGCTTCATTCAGAATATCCTTTTTTTGTTAGGAAAATGACAAAAATGCCCTACTAGCTTTCTAGTGTTAGTCCTTTGAGTCCCTGAAATATTTTTGTAGCTTTATGAGGGAGCAAACTAATTTTTTTTTTTGCGTCAATTACATCATTTTGGAAGTTGTGAGGGGGTAAACCGGTCACATTTTTGCCACCTCATTTATTAATGTCACATATACACTTATGAACCCCATTTTCCTTATTTAAGGGATTATGCTCCTAATAAACTTGCTCCTAGGAGCATGGCATGCATCTTTATTGGTTACTGCACCCAATATAAAGGATACCATTGCCTAGACTTAACAACAAATCATCTCTACACCACCCCCGACATGCCCAATTTAACGAGCATGTGTTTCCCTTTGCTGACCACTCTACATTATATAACTTCAATGATGTTCCATATGCAAGCTTTTATGAACCTGGTCAGGTTTTACCTTCCAAAGTTGTCTCGGCATCTCTATTTATGGCAACATCTCCACCTATGGCAGCATCTCCCACATTTGTAGCTTTACCACACACTTGTCCTACCTGTACAATGCATGTTACCAGCTCCCACACTCATGCTTCCGCCTCAACCCCCATCTGATGACGTTAACCCTATCCCAAACATGGAACCTCATGAGACGTCACCAGTAACTCCATCTTCATCACCGACATCACACATCACACCTCCTGTCGTGTCTACTCCGACTCAGCAATGGACACCAACTCCACAACCTACTCAGCTCCATCCCATGGTCACTCATTTATGTGCAGGCATTTTCAAACCCAAATATATAAGTGATCTTGCTCACCTTCCTCCCTCAGCATTACATCATGCTCTCTTGGCTATTACCACACCTAAAGGGTTTAAATCTGCCTCCAAACACCCTCATTGGCTCATGGTAATGGAGGATGAAATTCTTGCACTTAAAACCAACAACACTTGGGATTTGGTACCCCGTCCATAAAATGCAAACATCGTTGATTCCAAATGGATCTTTCATACAAAACTTCATTCTGATGGCTCCGTTGAACGACTTAAAGCTCGTCTTGTTGCTCAAGGGTTCACACAAATTCCGGTCTTGGATTTTTCCTATACCTTCAGTCCTGTCGTCAAAGACTCGGCTATCTGTATTATTTTATCTCTTGAAGTTCTACACAAATGGCCTCTCCACCAACTAGACATCAAAAATGCTTTCTTAAATGGTCATCTCTTTGACACAGTTTTCGTGGAGCAACCACCAGGGTACCTTGATGAACGATTTCCAAACCATGTTTTTCATTTACAGAAAGCATTATATGGCCTTAAACAGGCACCACAGGCATGGTTTCAAAGGCTTAGCACTTTACTTCTCAGTCTTGGGTTTGTCTATAGTCGTGCCGATACGTCACTTTTTGTGTTTCAACGACATCATGATATTCTATACATCCTGGTTTATGTTGATGATATTGTTCTTACTGGCAACAACTCTACTCTCATCAAGACTTTCATCACTCGTCTCAATAATGAATTTGCAACAAAGGATCTTGGAAATCTAAGTTATTTTCTGGGTCTTGAAGTTACTTATCCTGACGATCGTTTGTTTCTCACACAAACTATGTATGCTCATGACATACTTACGAGAGTTGGTCTACTCGAATCTAAACCCGTCTCTACCCCATTGTCTACTTCTAAGTTGCTTACTTCCTATGGATCACCATTTTCTGACCGTACTCTATATACATCACTCGTTGGAGCTCTACAATATCTCAAAATCACTCGCCCTGACCTCTCGTATGCAGTAAATCAAGTCAGTCAGTTTCTTCATGCTCCAACCAATGATCACTTTTAGGTAGTCAAAGGTATCATTCGCTATGTCAAAGGCACTATCTCTTATGGTTTATATTTTTCAAGACCTACATCAACCTCCTTAATTAGTTGGTTACTCGGATGCAGATTGGGCAAGGTGTATTGAAACACGGCGATCCACATATGGCTACTCAATATTTCTTGGAGGAAACCTTGTCTCCTGGAGTGCCAAAAAGCAACCTATTGAATATCGTGCCATGGCTAACACTGCTACAGAAATAGTTTGGGTTAGTCATCTCCTACGAGAACTTCATTCTCTTCCACCTAACTGTCCTACTCTCCTAAGTGATAACCGAAGTGCACTATTTCTCAGCAAAAATCCCATTGCACACAAGAGAGCCAAACATATTGACATCGACTATCATTTTGTACACTACTAGAAAAACAGCCTTTTATGACGCGCGAACCATGACACGCGCTCTTTTATTATACGCATTAGTGTGTGCCCTATAAATAATGTCTACTCTCGGAAAATTAGAAGGATTTAGGTTACGCATTTTCGCGCGTGCTAAAATAAGTGTCACATTGAAAAAAAATAAAAACACGGAGGGCACATAACTTAAAATGGGCGTCCTCTATGTATGTCGCTTTATATTTTTTTAATGAAACGCGGGGTTAGTTCTTTTGGGGGAAATGAAATTCCGAAAAGTTTGAAAGGCCCGCCATGAAGGGACGATTCTACTTCTTTTTTCAAAAATCCTATTCAACATATGTTGACTCTCACACGCACAGACTTATCGCTATCTCTATCTCTATCTATCTCTCTCTCTCTCAAACACACATCTCTATCTCTATCTCTCTCTCAAACACACACGCACACACACAAAATTGAATGGACGATTCTAGGGTTTTTTTCCAGAACCATTCAAAACGCAAAGGAGTCCTCTTTACAATAGGTTGGTGACATCGTCTCACCTCACCTCGTCGGCGATTGTGACTCCTCGAAGATTTAGGGTTGTGCTCGGTGTTGTGCTCGGTGATTCAGCAACTAACTGAGGTCTAAGGTTACGTGGTTGTGTTTGGTAATAATGGAAATAGAGAATATATTGTTTTTACAACCAGATAAGCCTTCTGCTAACCGGTATGCCCCCTCTTCTCTTTTTAATTCGATCACAGCTTCGTCCTTACCCTTCTTCTTCTTATTATTTTTTGGCTGATGTTTTACCTTGAGGAATATACTATGGAGGCGATGTCGGGGGCAAAGAAGGAATTTCAGCGGTGGAACTTATTCCATCTGATGGAGGAGATGCCTAAAGAGGGGCATTTTCAGGGGCATTTTTGGAAATATGAAGTTTTCCAATATATCAGAACAGTTAGTCTTCCAAAAATTCATAGAGGTACTTCCATCTTGCATTCTTTTTGATGAACTATTACCATTTATTAGGGTCCTCATTGATGTATATCACATGGGAAATCTTGGTGTTGTTTTTGATGTGCCAAGACAATGGGACTTTTGACAGCAAAAAGCATTGGAAGATCTTGTGATGTCCCCCATTTTACCTGTGTATGTGTTGCTATGCCCCTCATTTGAGCCCGACTACTTTGTAGGTTGGCTATTTGTTGTCTAAACCTGATCAATTGGCATGCTAAAATCTTTGTTAATGCCTAATCAAACCACATGTTACTACTCATTAATAGTTAGACGTGATCAAAAAACTTAGGAATCCTAATTTAAGTAGATCTTTATTGCACACCAATTGTTTGATGATATGCCTTAGTGACAATGTGTATGATTTTTTTCTTCTTATTTGATAATCAGCAATCTTGCTGCTATAAGAGAGATGATCGGATGGCTAAAGGTAATTAAGAGGCATGATTAATTATAGAATGTTGAAATAGGACAAGAAGAAGAAAATGTTCTACAGTCCTAATGCTTTATGTATGTTCTAGTTGATTCTCAATTTGGGATCCCATTAATGGATCTCAACTATAATTTGATAATGGTCATTGCAGAATGCTTTTAGAATAAGAGGAATCGGAAAGCTTGATAATTATTATTCTCATGTTTGTGTATATGTATACTTCATAAATCATGATTTATTATTTTTCCTATATTTCTTATGCATTAATTAACAAGTCTGACTTGTCAACATCTGTAGAATGCAAATGATCCCACAATAGGATTCTTGTTTGATGGAATGGACCATCTTTGCTAACTAGTATGAAAATACATTGCAGGTGAAGCTTTAAAGGTTTAATTACCTTTTTGCCCTTGACAATCGTTGGGTAATTATACTAAACAATCATTGGGGAATTATAATCATCAATCGCCATGTGGTTAAACTAGGTAAGATGAGAGCTTTATTTTCTTATTCTTTTATTGGGTTTCAAAGTTTTCTTATTCTTTTATTGGGTTTCAAAGATTCAGAGTCAGAAGCTCAGAACTGGATTTTACTAAAACCCGGTTCTATTTACTGTTAGCACCCCATTTATGAATGCCCTGTTCTCTCCAATATTGAACCCAAACAGATCAAAGTTCGGTTCCAAGATCAATGGTATGATTATGAATATAGCAATTTTTTCTTCCAAATCTCTTTTCAAATGGTTGTGTAGGTTTAACTTTGAACCTTGTGGTTGTTAATGATCTTTACAGATGCAAGGAGAAAAAGGGAAATAGGCTTCCCATCTTTAGTTTCTGAATCCAAAGCTTTTAATAGAGGAAAATTATAGCTTTTAATGGAGGAAAATGATAGGTTGCAGAAGCAAGTGTCACACCTGTATACATAATGTTTGACAATTTTATTGATATTGTGGTAAGCAACAATGAATAAAAATTACACATATGATGGATTGTACAAGGTAGACTAATAGACACTTTGGGATTTCTTTTAGAATAAATAGGTAATAATTTTATATAAACATTAAAATTATACTTGTTTTTCTTTTTCAGGTTGTCAAATATTGGGCAGAAAAAGGGGTTTCAGGTTTCTATGTTTACAAGTTTCGTCTCAAGCGTATGGAAGGGCAGCCTTCTTTAGTGACTGACATGGCTAATTTGTTGTTTTTAATGTTAGGATGGTATGTGATGACATCAGTAGAGGCCTTGATAATATTCCCATTCCAGCAACAAATTTAGTTGATGATCCACCTGTTCCCCCAACTGGCATGTTACTTACACTGCCTCAATTTTTTTTATTAAATTAAACTACATATATGATCCATGATCTATGATTATGATGATGTGTTATTAATTTTTTTTTATTGCAATGTGAATGTGATAACATGACAGGTTACAAGTATATCAAGTATATTAAAGTTTCAAACAATGTTGTGGTCCCTAGTAGTGCCTCTAGATGCACCTGCATTAAAGAAGGCAGATATATGAATTGCCATGGACTCAGGCACAACAGTTGCAAAGGTATGTTTGATGACTTTTTGACTAGTCAACTCTTTCTTATGTTGACTTTATGGTTATAATATAGCAAATTAATAATAATTATTATCACAGTGCTTCAAACATGGTTTTGACTGATGACAATTTTGCTACAATAGTTGCAGTAATGAGACTTTTTAAAGGCCCATAACATATCATTAGTTTAGTATATTTATACCTTTGTATGGTTGGGATATTGATTTAGTTGGATCAAATATAGTCATAATAATGTTTTATAGTGCACGAAGTCTTGAAATTGAGCACTTCAGTAACATTGACTCCATTAGACTTTACAGCATATCCAGAAATGTAAAAATGTTGTTTTCCATCGTAATGGCCCATAGCATATCAGATTAGAATAGTATATTTATGCAGTTATAAAATTATCATAGGCTAATCGACACTCTTGTTTCAATCGGTTGTTGTTCTGTTCCAATCCACGTGAAAATAATGTTATGTTAAATCTGTTTATTATGTGAAATTAATGCTACAACATATCATGAATGACTTAAATAGCAAAATTCATAGCATACTTTTTGTTGTTTTTACAATTGATGAACGTTGTGATATGGGGTTGGATGAAAAGTTGCTGGATAATCTCACCTCTCAGCCTTCTTTGAAGTCAAGGGGTCCAAATACAGGTTACAAATCTTCTACAATTACAGACAATGGTCTGAGCGTTTTTCTAGTAGTGTATGTGCACGAATTAACCATGCTTTGTGCTAAACCTAATCGCTTGGTGTTACGTATTTACAGAATTTTACTGTCTTTGTGGACGAATCAGCTAAAGACATGTTATGTTGTATACTTTTATTTTCCCTATGCTATAGATCTGATTTTCACCTTCTGGAATGTTTTCTATTCTGTGATGGAACTATTTTCCAAAAATACCCCATGGATTGGATCCTGTCTCTAGTATGTTTAAACAGGTTTGTGATTTAGGAGTTGGATTCTATTTTTTTTAAGTAGAATGTAATTATTTGTATTTGTTGTCATCTGTTTTTATCTTTTTGACGCAATGCAGCATGTTGCTGCTGAAGGCACAACCTTGGTCAAACAGGCAGAAGATGCTGCAAGTAATAAGAAGGCAGAAAAGAGATTGCAGGTTGATCCTGCTACGTGGCCAATAATGATCTTTAGGTTCTGCTAGAAGGATTGGAGATTGCAGTTAAGCTTCTATCTAAGACTTCACGCCATGGACTTGATGAATTTAAGATATCATATTTTGGCATGGCTAGAAGCTTTGGAGGAAACGAGACTCAAGCAAAAGTAAACACACGGAGAGTTGTTGGCACATAGTAAGCTAGATAATGCAATTGTATATAAATGAGTTCATTTTTTTATAACATTCACTCACTATTGGAATAATAATTTGTATTTAACATATTAGTGAAACGAATTATATTTGTTATTTATGGTATTTTATTTTGCATTATGAGATTTATAATGTATTATTTAATTTGAAAATTAGTAAATCTATAAATAATATATTTTTTTTAAACATTTAAAATTATGATACGCAAAAATGTTTGTCATCTTCATTTATGACATGGTCTTTTTTGACAGGGGCTTTCTTGATACGCATTGCGTGTCATTAACACGCGCGTCGTAAGGTTACGACACGCCAATGCGTGTCGTCTTTCTTTATGACAGGGCCTTCCTTGATACGCATTGCGTGTCGTAAACGCGCGTCGTAATTGCGCGTCGTAAATGAGCAACGTAAATGCGCGTCGTCTCTCTTTATGACAGGGCCTTCCTTGATGCGCATTTGCGCGTCGTCTGAGCCTTTTACGACGCGCAATGAGCGTCGTAAAAGGCTGTTTTTCTAGTAGTGATACGTGAGCTCGTTGCCTTTGGAAAGCTCCGTACAAAGTTTGTTCCCACTCATCTTCAGTTAGCTGACATTTTTACCAAAAGTCTCCCTCGTCCTTTATTCGAGAGATTTCGAACCAAGCTTCGTGTTGGTCCTCCACCGCTCAGCTTGACGGGGGGTATTAGAGATAAAACGTGAAAAGTGTTTTTCTCAAAATAATTTGTTATTCTGTGAGAAAAAAAAAAAGTCATATGGTGTTATACTCTTATCACATTTGGGCATTTTAATGATTAACTTTGTCACTAATGTATTAGTAAATAAATAGATATTAGTACTGCTTAACTTTAACTATTCATAATTCTTATCATATCTTACACGAAATGTAGCATAATTTTGTAACTTCAAATAAATAAAGGCTTTCTCTTCGATCATATATGTGTATGCCATGTTTCACATCCATAACTATGTTCTAAATTGCTTCATGTATACAGGTGTAAGAATCACATATTAACTATCATAATTTATTCTACTATTTTTTTTATATTCGTTAGTAGATATGCAAACACACAAACGTGTATATGATTGCAATATTCTAACGTTAAAAATAGAAATAATTGTTATGTATATTGGCCATAAAAATTCAGCCATATCATTAGATATTTTAATGGTAAGCAGAGTCCACGAACACTGCTTAACTTATCAGTAGATATTTTAATGGTAAGCAGAGTCCACGAACACTGCTTAACTTTCGGTATAAGTGTATTAAACATCAGGCTATATAACGTATAGTTAAAGTTTGCATAAATAAATATTGAATAAATATATATATATATATAAACTTCTAATGACATCAACAGATAACTTAGATTTACCTACTTTTTGGTGTTAGGTTACATGCACGGAGACTATTTTGTGTGCTGTATAAGTTTACAAAAAACAAAAAATTTAAAAACATTCACAAAGGTTTTATTTTTGGAAATTTGAGTAAGCTAACATTTTCTTTGTTTATTTTAAAAAATAACTACTATTTTTTTTTTTTTTGTAAAATAACCTTCTTCTGCAGAATAACCATTCCGGAGACCATTTCGGGCTATGCACTCGACCTTGCCCATTCAACACATTCTGGAATGCTCATTTTTGTTCCGGAGAACAAACTACAAAACCTTATTCCGAATTTTATTCTGACACATTCCAAAGCACAAACTACAAACTCATTACGATACATTCAGACGCTCTTTACATACTTTAGACTAAAGAATCAAAGAAGATATGACATACGATCCTAATGATTTGGTTGTTTTATGGGTGAATTTTTTACTCTTACACTTTTAGTTGTTTAATTTCAATATTGTTGGTGTAAGTTAGTCCAAAACATGAAGAACATGTTCCGGACAGTGTTGGAGATGTTTAATTTAGTGTTAGGACCAACCCAAAACTAGTTTCAATATTGTCTTATGCTATTATACATCCCAATGTTGGTATGTCAAAACACATAAAAGCAATTCTGGAACATGTCCTAAATTCTCGGGAATGCGAATAGCTACTTCAGAAAATGAATAACATGTCCGGAATCTGCAGTATAGTTCTGAAATGTTCATCACATTTCTTTCCAGATCACCGTTTAAACCTTTGAATTACCTTAAAATTACTTTGTTTGGTTTTATTTGCAACGTGCCAAGATTTTTGATGAATCAATTACACTATCTTGCAAATACGCAATTATGGCAGATATTCTTGCGACACTATATTCTTACAACACTCAGAGACAGATCTCCACATGAGGCTATGTTCCGAAAGAAGTGCTTTGGTAAGTGGTTATATATTCCTTCGGAGGTAGAGGGGATCATTTACTTCTATCTTACTTGTTTTACAATGAAGTTGTAACAGACGTTTGAAGCAAAGTAGATGAAATTGATGAGTTTAAAACAAACTTGGAGATCGATTAGATCTATGAAACAGGTAGAGAAACAATCAGATAAACAATTAAGAACAAGCTAATGGATCAAAAGGTGTCGAATGATTTGATAAACAATCCTCAGAAGAGCTCGATAAAGAACATCAACTGTAGAGGATTTTAGGGTTTACAAATAATCAATGAGAGTGACGACCCTTACTATACGCATACATGCATGCATATATTTATAATACAACCCTAACGGTTTTCCTAAGAAAAAGAAGGCTATTCTAGATAAGCACAGATTGACAAGCCCAATCCGGCTGTAAAACATAAGGGCCCAAGACGCAACACAATAATCTTCAACAATCTCCCCCTTTGCGTCTTTGGCACAGAGCCTTCATTCCCTTTTAACAGCAGATGGCTTCTTCACCGTCTCAAAAATCCTCGGTATAATAGCCAGAATGTGATGCCTGAAGGTAATATACCATCGAAGCATATCAGTGAAGTTCTTCTTGTCTGCTGTGGACTTCTGCTTGCATCGGTGAATGATGTTTATGATATGCTCCAGACAGTCTGTTGAAAACAGATGCTTGTCTACCAGAGCAAACTGGAACTTGTGCTTGTCGCCTCTTGTGAACATGACCGTCAGATTTGAAGAGTCAATTTGGCCTAACTTCATTTTGTGAACGTCTCCTGTCTTGGAAGTTGGCTTGACAGTCGGTTTCTTGTTCATTATTTTTGCTATTTCCTGACCCATAGTGGCGAGCTCATGGATATAGGAAGCCAACATTCTTTTGAGATGTTTCAGAATCGGTTCATACTCTCTTTGATTGGAGAGAAGAATGTTGTATAGCAGAATCCAATCATGAGGATTCAGACTGGGAAGATCTGCCAGAGAAATAAAATGTTCTGTGTTGGCCGTTCCTCTGTTGATTTTGAAGTTAACATTCACAAATTTCCCAGCCTGTGTTGGTTTCAGTACCTTGACTTTAATTATCTTCTGTGCACTTCATGTCAAGTACTGTGGTTGACCATACTTCAGATAAAAATCTATTAATTCTCTGTCAACCTTCAAGTTTGGATGAGGGACATCAACAGTGACATCGAAGCAATGAAATGTAAAAGCTTTTCGTGTGATCGGCATGTCAAACTGTGAGTCTTTGGTATTCTCACACTCAAAGGATGCAGTCAGTTCCAACCAATATATGGAGGGAAACTCAATCGCTTGATTGATGAGTGTGTCTCTGTCCCATTCTGGGAACAGAGTCTTCTTGGCTTGTAGAGCATCCTCATCCTCCTTGATTTTTCTTTCTTTGGCCTCTGCCTCTCAAGCTATTTTCATTGTTTCATCCAGCTCTTTGTCCCTTTTCTTTCGTTGAAGAGCTTCAGCAATAGTTTCATCGGTATCTGACTCGCTCTCAACAAGAAATTGTTTTCCAGAACACGAAGCTAAATTAACCTTCGGTTCTGTCTTTGAAATACCCTCTTCTCCCCCTTGTCTCGGAAGAACAAGCTTCGCCAAGACACCCTTCATTTCGCTCAAGATGTTAATTGCAGGAAGGAGTTTAGCCTAGAGATGCTGTCTGATGGTAAGGGTAAGAAAGGGATCATGAGTGTCGAGGACAGTTGTTAGTATATTCTTGACATCACCAGGGAAACCTTGAAGAACAGCCCGCTGAGTTTTCAGCAAAGAGATTTCTTATTGAGCCTGGGCCAGTTGGATCTTCTGAAGGTCAATAGTTGCCTGATGCTTGACAAGATCTTCTTTTAAGGTGCTTTCTGCTGCTAGAGAAGCAAAACGTGAATCCAAAGATTTGAGAAAAGAGGTGGATTCAGTTTTGAGGTCAGCACGCAGAGCCTCAAACTTGGAGGTTTCACCCTGAAGGGTAGCTGAAAAGGAGTCTACAAACGTCTGAAACTTGGCCGCATTAGCATCAGCATGTGCTTTGAGAGAGTCAAGAAAGATCTGAGTTGTGTGAACAACCTCAGAGACTTCCTTTGTAGCTTTGGAGCATGAAGCTACTGAGTTATCAATGGCATCAGTAGAACGATCCAGAGCGTCAGTATACGTCTTGATCGCAGACTCGATGAAGGATTTCAGCACCACACCCCCATAGGCTTTATTATCAGCCAGAAAACTGTCGAGTTTGTCATGAATTTGTTGAAGCTGCTGACTGGTAATAGGGTTATCGGCATCAGTATCTGTGGGAATCCGGTAAGGGCTATAATAAAGAGAATCGTACTCTTCATCATCACCGCCCAAAGTAGCACCGGAGTTTGAGGATGGAGAAGGTGATTGAGGGATGTTGATGACGGCGGTTTCAACCACAGTAGTAGCCCCTATATCAGATACATTGACTGTAACTGGTGGCTGAGAAGAGGTGGTAGTAACCGATTCGGTGATGATTGGAGTGGGGATAGAAAAGGTAGGAATAGTAACAGAGAAAGGAATTGTTGGTTCTGTTGTAGTGGGAGGGATGATTATA